TTTTTTTTTTTTTTTTTTTTTTACTTTGGGCGGCTACATTTATATTTTATATTATTATTTTTTATTATTATTCTACTTTACTTTAGAGCATCTTTTATTTATATTATGACAATGATGTTACATAAAAAGATATTCAGTGATCAACATAACAGTACGCTCGGATTTGTGGCCCCAATAGTGCCCCAATCAGCGATCCGATCCAACCAAAAGGGTGCTGGTTTTTGATCGCATATTCGATTGGCTAGTACTTTTTTTTTTGTTAATAACATTATAAATGGATACATACATACATCATACACATATATATCCCAATTTCACTAATTTCGGATGTAACACATGTACATCCCCCAAAATCGCATGTTTTAAGTATCACTTTATCCATATATGTAGTGTATAATGAATTAATGATTTATATATACACACACATGCATTGGAAGGCTAATCAGAAGAATTAGAAAAATGTAGAGTTGCTGGATTAACATAACCTTCAAATATTTGTTACCGTCTAGCACTGCCTAAAGTATTCTCCTTTAAGCATACTCCCACTTTAAAAGTTCCGGGTACTTTACTATATATATATAAAATTTTTCTTAATTTTAAATCCGGGTATTATTCAATTTTTATTGTATAGACTCTGGTATTAATATATGTGTATCAAAAAAAAAAGAATTTATTGTAAATTTTTATATAGTTAAAAATGCGCCATCGTTAGCAGTACTTTTAAGAATTTTATTATCATCATAAAACAAAAATAAAACAATGAACAAAATTATACAGTATGATAATATTAAAATTGCTACAAATTTATATAATCGACTATTAATTCCAATCCTGCATTACGTTGAGTCATTTTCTTCATAATAGCCATTCTCAGGTTCACTTTCACTATTATCGTTGTCTCCTTCATTTTCTCTATCATCATTTTCGACATTTTCTTCAATTCCTCTTCCTGTATTATTTATTCTTTCTACTACTTTATTAAAATCAAAAATCAAGCCGTCTTCTGTCCCATTAATTGCATTTGAAATACCGCAATATTTAAACGAACGCCTAATCAATAACTTTATCCAGCTTGTTACAAGCGAATAAGAAGGTCTTTTAATTTTTCCAGATGGGGTATAATCTTTGATAGCTTCGTTCATCCAAAGATTATAATGATGTCGTACTTATTTTTTAAAAAAATAAATATAAATTTATTTAAGCAATAAATAAACCAAAATAAAATTACCTTTGTTATGATACATTAAGTGATTGCAAACGAGAAGTTAGACCACCTGAAATGATCGTTATATTAGTTTTTTTTTTGAACGAAATCTTTGTTTTACGGATGTGCAGCAAAAGAATCCAATACCAAAAGAAATCTCGGATTACTGTCTCGATTTGCACGTTTTGTCTAAACATTATCCACCAACAAATCATCTCGTTTTCATTCATCCAACCTTCCATATTAGTACGGATAATTACACCATCTGGAAAATCCTCACGCGGAATATTTGCAAGTTTAAAAATAATTACTGGAGTAATTTCGTCTCATCAGCCATACAATTTAAAACAACAGTGAAATTCGAACGTTCATGCTCAATTAATAAAATTGAAACAGTTCTTGCACCATTTTGTTCAGCTATTAGCTATTGCAAATTGAATGACATTGGCGTTCATTCATGTTTGCGATTAAAGATAATGGATAATTATGCTCTCTTCGATAAAATATTACATATGATAAAAAATTCACTTTGTTACTCTACATAATGTTTTGAAAGCCGTTGGGTAACTGTTGTTCTACTTCTATTAACCAAATTATAGCGAGACATAAAGCCATTAACCACCTTTGGATTCCGATTGTAACCACATCGGAATCGGAGCCAATAGTTCCCAAAAAGGACATTTGGAAGCCTCGATATATGGTTTTATTTAAAACATGAGTGCGAGTCTGTATATTGGAATAAGCTACTATTTCTTAATTCCTACATCACTAAATTGTTTCCTTGAGGAGCGAAGGGCGTCCAGTTCATATCTTTGTTGGTGTCACCTATGAAAAACAATATTTGGGAAGAATTGAAAACTAGCATATAAAATCCTCCAGCATTATCCTCCGGCTTTAAAATCCTCGAGAACACTGTACCATTAAAAAAATGGCAATCCCCGTTTTTCCTTGTTAAATTACTAAACATTTGCAATGATAATAAGTCAAAAAACATTTTTTGTTTGGCAAAATCACTAAAACTTCTATAATATTTGGCATACACAATTTCAAGATTATCATAAAGCATGTTGCAAATGAGCATAGATGGAGGGTTTCTATTATCTTCCAACGTCACAGATAACTTAGGGGGATCATATATCATTTTATGTATATTATATGTGATGACTCCTACCAAACCAGCAGTCAGAAGAAAGAAAACGATCATCTTAAGTATTCTTGTACTAGGAACGCTTCGAGTATTGCCAGCAATGAAATAATTAATGACTTGTTTACGAAGATTGGGTAACTGAATGATTCGTACAATGAATATAAGAATTATAATGGATACAAAAATTATGGCTACTGTTATGGCAAAATACCGATTTCTCCATTGAGAGTCTCAAACCAATCATGATTAACAAAGCTACCAGAATTGAGAGTGTCGTCCATATTGTAAACTTAGAGTTTTATTATTAAAATTTATTCAATTTATTCAAATTTTTTGTACAAAAAAAAGTATGTCAAGAATATTAATTTTTTTTCGATTCTGAGATCTTAATTTAGAGAATTCAAAATATTCTAAATTGGTTTACGTACTCTAATAATTGTTGCCATTATAAATTCCAAATAAGACGGTTACCCCTGGTAAAAAATACATTGTGAATTGATACGTGAAATTTTACCACGAACAAATTCCTGATGATCGTATCCTAAATTGGTATGTACAGTGTTAATAATTTTACTAATCGGCGTTAACCTTAGTCTATTTTTGGAAAAAACCTTGGATCTTTACTTTTGAAAATGACGCCACCCATGCAATGTCGGAACTCGGAAAGCTCACAATAATTCCGTTAGTTCCTTACAATATTAAGGTTTTATATAATAAAAAACCCGGTGTATACATTGTTTTATTGTTCTATTTATTTATGAAACACGGAAAATACATGGAAGAAAAAAATTATTTAACCCATTTCAGAATAGAACAATAGTTTTAATGTGTGTGTAAAACAAAAGACCGACGTTGTTGAAATTGTTTTCTAAAAATTTCTTGCATTTTGTTATTATCCTATAATGAAAACAATTTTGTATTATATGCAAAAGTTAATTTTAAGTTTAAACATAGGTTTCAACAAACTATCATTTAAAATTTATTAAAGCTTTTAAACAATTGTAACAATTAGCTAAAACTAAAACAATAAATTGTTTAAACAATTTTAACACTTGGTTTCAGTTGAGTCGACATCACTACTTGTGGAGTGATATATTATTAGTATTCCAAATCAAACAAAAACAATAAAAATTATTATACTGTAATAATTGTCCAGTAATTATATATATCTACGCAAACGCTTTATACACTGTTTCCTAACAGGATATTTTCCACAACAGCTTAACGCTGGTTATTTAATCACGCAAGGACCCAGAAATATATATAAAAGGGTCAGGTTTGAGTTTGCGTATTTTGAACTAAAAAAATCATGAAAATCTTTCTTTTTTTAGATAATTTCTGATAATGCCAGTCAGAATTTTATTTCCTATTATAGTAACAGACTGACATTATCATAATTCCGGCCCTGAAAAAATGCGTACAGCTCATAGTAAAAAATTTTTTTCATCACCTGACCCCTATATATATATTTCTGTGTACTGATTTAGAGCATTAAGGTAAGTACTATGTAATTGATGAAATAAAAGCAAGGTAGAGCATACTATAAAAGAAATAAATTCATAAGTTAGTATCATATTAATTATTAGTTGAAAATGATGCATTATTGAAATAATATTACACTGGCAAACAATCTCAAACTTATTAGTTATACAGAAGAAACTTTTATTTATTATAAATAACAATAATTTTATTTATTTTAAAAGTCATTGTAATAATTAATACATTTCATATATAAATTCATCAGTTTCAATACTTAAATCACAATAATTTTGAACTATAATATCATATAGTCTAAATTCATTTACTTCATCTTTTAAAGAAAACAAGTCAACAATAATTTCAATGAGAGCCAAAAACTTAATTCTCTTCTTTTTCATAATATATTCCTTTATATAAGATAAATTATTCTTGTTTTCTAATTCTTCTTTCTTAGTATCTTTGATTAGTAATTTATTAATAAAGTGGTTTGTAAATTTTTCAAGAATTTGTCCTAAATTTTGTAATACAACTGAGCTAAGATTAACATTATCATCAGCATCAATACTAATATAATTAAGACTTAGCTCAACTTTTTTAACTAACTGAAATATTTTATAAATATTCAGATTTTTAAATCCATAAAATTTTAAGAATTTGATATTTGTACTACAATATTTTATAATTAATTCACTTGTAATAATGATGATCCATCAACTAGTTCAAGTCCAAAGTTTTCTAAGTAATTTCCAAATTTTTGTAATAATAGTTGTAGTTGGTCAGTTAAGGGTTCTTCATCAATAAATAAAGATTTTAATTTAAATGGTTCAGTTAAGTTAATAATTTGTTGAAAAAAATTAGAATCTAGAGAATAACAATAAAGAATATGAATAGATTCTAAAATATTTAATTGTTCAAATATCTCATTTGAGACAACTAAATTTTTAAAATTAATCAAATAAAATATAATTGTTCTTAAAGTATTTGTACAATTAGGATTCTTTGATAATAATAATGAATTATATAAGGAAAGGCTATTAAAATTCAATGAAATTTTTTTGAGATTTTGTTGTGAATCAATTAAATGACATAAATCTTTTCAAATGTTTGGAAATGATGTGTAAATAGAAAATAGAGTGATGATATTGAATTGCAATTAGAACTTAATAATTTTAAAAGTAGGTTAAATAAAATGTACTAAATGAGTAAAATTTAAGATAAAGATTTCTAATATTGTAAATGAAATTTGAATTTAAAGCTAATTCAGAAACAATAGTATCAAGATAAGTACAATTATGTGTAATATCAAGAGTATGTAAATTTGCTTCATTTTCATTGAAAATTTTAATTAATGACTTATAAATAAATTTTACAAAATCATAATGCTGTGAATGTTTAATATTAGCTAAAAGTGGTTTGAATTTTTTGACATCTGAAACCCACATTGTTATAGAATTATAAATTTTATAAATATCTAAATATTGAATAAAACTGGAATAATTAAATAATATATTTGAAGGAAATAAATCATTATTAATTCCATATTTCTTTGATTGTATTTTATCATCATCACTCAAATTATATAAATAAACTTCAATATAGTAATAATTTTTAGGATATTTTAATGAAAATGGATTTTCCCATAAAAATGGAAAATTGTCATACGACACCATAATCTATTAACTAAAATACATGAATGTAATGTTGAAAAGTCATTCCGAAAATATTGTATAATTTCATTTGTTATTTCAGGTAACTCTCCTGAAAATATTTTCGTACACGCCATAATATTGTGAGCAAAATAGAAAAAAGGGGGAAATGTTTTAAATTTTAGATGTGGTAACTAAGATAGGAGTGGCTTAACTGGACGGCTAAATCGTCTGATCAGCGATAAATCACATTGCCACCTTGATCTACAACAAATAGTGAAATAGTATTTTATTAATTTATTTAATAATACAGTAATATAAAATATTGACACGAGTAATAATCAACACAATGCTTGGTTAATATAATAATGTAATACTAAAAATTATAAAAATAGAATCTCAAAAATCTCCTTTTTACTTGATCAAATACGCTTCATAAAAATTGTTTGGTCTTTCTTTCTAAACTCTTCCAATATTGATTTTGGCATCCTTTAATTTTAATAAACCCTTTTCATTTTCATGGTTCCCGTCAAAAATATAGTTTTCCACCTTTGATAAATTTTAAATCCCAAAAATTGATCTTCAATCCCATTTCTTATTATAGTAATATCCCGAACATAGTTCCCAAATCTAATCTAAAAATAAATCCGAACACAAGAATAGTTTTACATCGTTACGGATGTTACATTCCACAATTATAACTTTAAAATTTTCTACACTTTTAAAAACTAAATATGATACTGCGCCCTACAATTAATAAATTCACTAGGTAATTCCTGGCATTACACCGGAGGGCAAAATTGGTCGGATGGTGAATTTGTTCGAGAGACGAATTTGTACCGAATTTTGAACGATATATAAGGACCGATTTGTGGAGAATTTGGGAAGATATACAGTTTTTTATTTGATATAGAAATAAATATACGAATATTGCAAAGCGCCGACCCTATAAAAATGTTTGTCCGAAATATTTGGAATGGATCAATTTTCCGGACACTCGCACGCTATTATAAAATATTTGTTAAAATTTAATACAAGATGCGGAGATTGAGAATTTTTAACCGCATAAAAAACGTACAATATCATGCAGTGGTTGGACAATATTTTATATAGGACGAAAGAGGTAGTAATATTGTATTTTATTGTTAACGAATAAACCCTGCCGATTTGTTTCCGATTTCTCATATTAAATCTATCTTATTTTATCGCGTTGTTTATTGTCATTTGTTGACTTGTCGCTATATTTCGTTTGTACACTTTATTACTGATTGTTCTCATATATTCTGAATTATCTCACCACTTGCTATTTAAACGTCATATTGCCTTACCGCTTTTTAACCGATCTTTACTTATTCTTCTGTTACTATCTAACCATAGAAATGTCTAAATTTTTACAACAATTCACATATATAGAACTACAAGATGTAAATTTTCGAGCTTCATAAAATATTACATGTGAATTTATACTCATACTTTTTCGATTACTTTTCATTCTCATTGACATACTTAAAAAGCTCGTCATTGGGGAAAAAGATATCAATGTTCATTAATAATGATTAATTACGACAAATTATTTATGTTTTTCTTAAAAATTCTAGGAAATATCATCTCTATATATTTTGGTGACGATTTTTATATTAAATAATTTGAATGGTTTGCTTTAATAAATGTTGAGGCCTGCTTTTTCATGATCAAACATAATAGGATTTGTCTCCCGGCGCTGTTCTTTAACGTTAATTAGGATAGATCGATACTCCAAAGGTTTTCCACCGATAAATGCTTTGCGCAACTATATGCACTGATATATAAATAAAAGAATCTTTGAACTATAATATTATTTCCTTTACATCGTCTTTTGAAAAAAATCCGAATTCATCCGTATAGTATTTATCATTAAACACATGTGGCAAAATGTAAAATCTTTACAACTATGAAATTCAGCTTTACCTTTAATTAATGATTTCTTAATAAAAGTATTTTGTGAATTTTTAAAAATATTTCCAGATCATTTATCCAAAAAGCAAGCGTTAAATATAAATATTCTAATTTGAAGTCCCAAGTTTTTTGTAATACATTTGGACTTGCACATGAAATAGTATGAAAATCCTCATTAATTAATATTATGTTGATTATTTTCAATGTTCCAAGAAACATTAACAAGGCTTTGTTGACATCCTATTTTATTGCGTCATCACTTGATATTTGACTTTTATTTTAAAGATTGGATATGTACCGGGTTTTCAAAAATTGGATTTTTGGTCGAGATTCAGGAAGAAAGCCGTAATAGGGACAAGGATTTAGTTTTTGAGGGTTTGGGAATGGGTTAACAGATGAATATTAATTGCAGGATGAAAACTGGGCGCAATCTAATCAAATGTTGGTAAAATGAGTTAACGCTTTTGATGAATAATAATTATTTTAGATATTCATAACATATTTATTAAAATTTATACAATTTAAAATAATAATCAAATGAATAATTTATAAATAATTTTTATTGCAAACACTAATGAGTTGTTGCACAATTGCCTTGTTGTCACATAATATTTTATAATAAATTTATAATTATCTTTATTTAATAATTGAAAAGTCCTATAAATAAATAGAGAATTGAATTATTTTAAATTACAAACTAAGAATCTTTTTACTACTCTAATCTTAGTGTTTAAATAATTTAATAAATAGTAAAAAAATGAATTTATTTTCAAGTAAATTAATTTAAAATCCATCTAAAGAGAATAAATATATTAGTAAATAAATATAATACATTATTTTAATATTATTAAAAATATTAAATTTATAAACAAACCATCGGGAGTTTCTTGTTTATCTTTCTCTTCTGAATGAAGATTTGGATTATTTTGTACTTCATCTATATAAATAAGATAAATTAGAATAATAATAATAACTGATCATTATTATAAATAATTTATTTTACTTACCATTATTACTAATATTTGATCGTTGCTGCATTATTTCTCTCTCGTAGTCATTTTGAACGTCATCTATTATTTAATAAATCAAATTTAATAAAATATTTGTTCTTATATTCAACGAAACGAAAATTATTTAAGGCTTTACCATTCTCCATTTTCAATTTTTTAAATAATCTAGATGATTCTTTACTATCATCATCTGTAATCAAGATATAAATTAGTATTTATTCGTTATAAAACTCTAATATAAGAATAAATTACCTTTAAAATTAATTTTACTTGATTTACTAAGATTACTAGCTATAATGAAAATCAATCATATGTTATTTTATTTATATAAAATTCAATATTATTTTAATAAATACTTACCATTACTAGAAATACTAAAATCATATGATCTAGTGGTATAAAATGCTATTTTAAAAAAAAAGATTATTAGTTAAAGGATTTATACTAAAACATTATTAACTTTATATTACCTTTTTGTTCTTCTATTATTATTCAATTAAAAAAAGTATTGTTAATTATAATGTTAAAGAAAAAAAACCAAATAGTTAATGAACATTAAAAAGCATACCTTCTGTTGCATTTTTTGGTTCAGGTAGATTTTCAAAATTATGAATTTTACTTGTAAATATTTTACTACTCATGATATTGCTTGTTTTTTCGTCTACTTGTATTATTGTTTGAGGTAGTTCATCAGGTTTATTTCGATAATATAACATAATTTCATTCATCTTATTACAAAGTGTATTAATATCAGGCCTTTTTAATGGATTAGCATCCCAACATTGTTCCAGTAGACTTTTAAATTCGGAAGGAATTTCTGAAATAATTTTTGGTCTTATACCATCAATGATATTAATTGCAAGAATATAATCATGTTCATAATTCATAAATGGAGGTTGCCCAAATGAAATTTCCCACATAAGCATTGCAATACTATAAATATCAGATTTATAAGTATACCCTTTTCCATTAATAACTTCGGGAGCTATGTAAGGAAGATTTCCATATATACTTGTTGATGGTTTGTCTGCAGGACCGCAAAATCCAAGATCACTAATACGCCAATGATCATTAAACTGTGAATATAATATATTTCCAGAATGCAAATCTCTGTGAATTGAATTCTCTTCATGAATCCAATAAAGTTTATCAATAATTAAAAAAGTAATTTTAATTCTTTCATTCCATGTAAGTTGATTATGATTTTGTTGTAAATATTCTCTTAAATTTACATCCAATTTATACATTACGAGTAAATAATTTCCATTTGATGGATTTTGTGTTAAACCAAAACATTGAACGATAGATTGATGTTTGTTGCCTAAAGTTAAATGTGATTTAGCCTTTAAAAAATAATAAATATTATTATTAACAATTAAATTTTAAATTTAAGTTCTTTAAATATTTTTTAAACTTACAAACCTCTTCAAACCAACTTTGACTTGCATTTTCAATATTTTTTAATTCTTTAAGTATTACAGCAAGAGTTCCAAATCTTATTAATTGTTGCTCTTTAGAATCCCATTCTTCATAAGGTCCATCAATCCGCTCTGCTGTATAAATCTCTGAGAATCCACCTTTTGTAAGATATTTAATATTTTCTAAATTATTATAAGGAATCCATTCAATTACAGTATCAGGTGAAAGTGTTTCCATTTGACAATTTTTTATTAAATTATCAATAACATTATTTCCAGAAGTCCAAATTGAAAAATTAGATTTTAAATAATTTCGAACACAATATTCACAATATAATGTAGCTAAACATTTTTGGTTACAATTTTCACAAATTCTTCTTGTCCCTNGGGAGCTATGTAAGGAAGATTTCCATATATACTTGTTGATGGTTTGTCTGCAGGACCGCAAAATCCAAGATCACTAATACGCCAATTATCATTAAACTGTGAATATAATATATTTCCAGAATGCAAATCTCTATGAATTGAATTCTCTTCATGAATCCAATAAAGTTTATCAATAATTGAAAAAGTAATCTTAATTCTTTCATTCCATGTAAGTTGATTATGATTTTGTTGTAAATATTCTCTTAAATTTACATCAAATTTTTCCATTACAAGTAAATAATTTCCATTTGATGGATTTTGTGTTAAACCAAAACATTGAACGATAGATGGATATTTGTTGCCTAACGTTAAATGTGATTTAGCCTTTAAAAAATAATAAATATTATTATTAACAATAAAATTTTAAATTTAAGTTCTTTAAATATTTTTAACTTACAAACCTCTTCAAACCAATTTTGACTTGCATTTTCAACATTTTTTAATTCTTTAAGTATTACAGCATGAGTTCCAAATCTTATTAATTGTTGCTCTTTAGAATTCCATTCTTTATAGTATCCATCAATCCAATCTGCTGTATAAATCTCTGAGAATCCACCTTTTGTAAGATATTTAATATTTTCTAAATTATTAAATGGGATCCATTCAATAATAACATTTGGTCTAAGTGTTTCCATTTGACAATTTTTTATTAAATTATCAATAACATTATTTCCAGAAGTCCAATTTGAAAAATTAGATTTTAAATAATTTCGAACACAATATTCACAATATAATGTAGCTAAACATTTTTGGTTACAATTTTCACAAATTCTTCTTGTCCCTTCATTATAAATAATTTTATCTCGGTCATAATCTTTATTAGTTATTCTTATTGCTTCAGTTTTTTCTTCTTCTGTAAGAGATTTGTCAGCAAGAATGAATTGTTTCATAAATTCGTATTGTTCATGAAGGCCAACGTGAATATTATAATCAATTGACGTAAATGATCTACTAATTACTGCTCGCATTAATTCTTCCCGAATATTGGACATTTTTTGTAAAAAAAAAAAGAAATATTTTTAAGTGCAAAAAAAAATAAAGTTTCCATAGACGGTTAAACAAATAAGTTGTGCAACCTCCAAAATTTAAATATTGTCTACCTGTCAGTCATGTGCTGCATGTGCTGCATTGTAAATAAAAAAATGATCATCTGATCATAAAATATAGACAAAATAATCCGTCATTACCGGCAACTTGGATCCTTTAATTTTTTATTATATACGTGATGTAAAAACTACAAAGGTACAAATGACGTTAAGGTTAAGCTTTTGTAGACAAGAATTATTTATTTTGATGTTTTTGGAAAAAAACCTATTTTATCGAATCATCATAGAATTCAAAAAATGGAAACACCTTCAAATTCATAATAAAATAAAATTTCAATTGTCATATTTGTGATGATGATTGTCTATGTTATCAATAAATTTCAATGGTAAATGGTAATAAAAAAATATTAAATATTTAATAATGGATTAATTTTCTTTCTTTTTTTCAACAATATTTATTTTAGTTATTACTTGGGATAATTTTTTTTATTGACAATTGATGTTAAATGAGCCAAATTTGAAGTTTCGAGTGAAAAGACGAAATAAAAAATTCAATTTTGATTATAAAGTTTTTATTTGCATAATATTTCGATATTATAATATAGTAACATATTTTTCAGTCAAAATTTATTGCCTCTTTCGTAACATAATGAGCTTATAAAAAATTAAAAGTTGACCATATTTTAGATAATTTCTCTATTCATTAAAACTTTTTTAAAAAAAATTCAGAAATCATCTCTTGATAATTTTTTATTGCAGGAAAAATAAAAATTATTATAGTTGGAGACTAAAGTCACTAAATATTTACGAGTATACTATCCATTTTTTAGGTATATCTGGATGACATTATTGATTGACTATATCTATTTGGTGAACGACTCTATAAAATGATCCTTATTTAAACATCATTTTTTATTCACTTTTTAATGCAATAAAATCATTTACTAGGACTTCCTAAGAATTTTAGGTCATTAGAAAATTATACTCACCATTTGCAATTTGTATAAAATTCTTGAAGAATATCCTAAGGGTTCACAAGTTTTTTGTAAACTTTCCAACTTTCCAAAATACTGAGCAAATATAAAACAATAGATATTATTATTAGCAAAGAACAATCGCATTATATATTGAAGTGAAATTGGCTGTGATCAATATGATAAGGTAGTAGACTAGTAGGTAAAATTTATTTATTCATCGATGCATTTTTAAACAACTTACAGTATTCTAATTATTTTTTTTTATTTAATTTAGTAATGTAAGTAAGATTCGATTCAATTCATCATATTTTCTTTCATTAGCAGCAAACAATTAAAAGCACTTTTAGAGTTATTTAAACTGACGTTTGATAAATGAAAATATTGTACCATGTTAAAACCAAAAACAGAAATAACACATTTTAGAGAAGTTTATTGGTCTGGCTATCACGTGGAATATTACTTAACCCTTTCAATATCTGTATATTTTCGAAAACGTATTTAAAGATTTATTTTATTTTATTTTTTTTCTTAACATGACAAAAAGGATTTGGTGATTAATTATTTATCATACCGCAATATTTTGCAACAATTTATGTTAACCTATTATTACCTTTAAATAGTAAGTAAGCCGTCATTCCCTATTAAACGAAAAATTTCATTAAATCATATTAGTAAGTTTAAGAGCGATACCACATACTATGTATCCTAACGGTCGTGGTAATTTTTACGCCAAGCTTTTAACTAATTAAAACAACTAATAATAAATGGTAAACCAATTTTTAAAAACCCAATAATTTATTAACTTTTAAAAAATAAAATAATAAAAATTTATAACATATAAAGATTTTAATAAAATACCTAATACATTTCGTTGATAAATTTATAAATATCAATAATTAAAGTATTATAATATTGAATTGTAATATTATATAATTTAAATTCCTTTACTTCATTTTTCAAAGAATATAAATCATCAACATTAGTAGGAATTTGAGCGAAAAAATATTCTAAAAAACCAAAATATTCAGTCCTTTTCTTTTTCATAATATATTCCTTTATAAAAGGTAAAATATTCATTTTTTCTTCTTCATTCCGTTTTCCATATCTGATATTTTTGATTAATAATGTTTTAATAAAAGTATTTTGTGAATTTTTCAAAAAAATTTCAAAATCACTTGTATTAATTTCAAGAGATAAACTTAAATATTCTAATTTAGTAGGAAGCATTTGTCCTAAGTTTTGTAATACCATTGAACTAAATAAATTGATTTCTGTTTCATAAAATAATACAAAATCAATAGTAAGATAATTAAGATGATTTTTAATATGTTCAATTAAATGTATTGCTAAATTAATACCCTCTTGATTATCAAAATCATATAATCTTAAAAATTTGATTTTTTTACAATATTTTATGATTAATGACAATAATTGTTGCTTTGATTCATCTTCTGGTTCAATCCTAAGATTTTCTAAATAATTACCTGATTTTTGTAATAATAATTGTAATAAATCAAATAATAATGGTTTATCTATAATTAAAGATTTCAATTTAAATGGTTTGGTTATATTAATAACTTGTTGAATAAAATTTGAATCTAAAGAATAACAATAAAGAATATGAATAGATTCCAAAACATTTAATTGTTCAAATACTTCATTTAAAATCTTTATATTTTTAAAATCAATGAAATAAAATATAATTGTTCTTAAAGTATTTGTACAATTAGAATTCTTTAATGATAATAATGAATGATATAAAGGTAGTTTAATAAAGCATAATGAAATTTTTTTGAGATTTTGTTGTGAATCAACTATCAGGGATAAATGTTTTTCGGTTTTTGAATGACAATTTGATGGAAATAATAAATTAAGTGATGAAATAGAATTACAATTAGAATAAAAAAATTGTATAAATGTTGTTATATTTTCAGTTGTTGGAACTATATGAAGTGCCAAATTTTTAATATTACAAACAAAATTTGGATTTTGTGAAACTAATGCAAAAGTTACATTAAAATACTCGCGATCTTCATCTGTAAATACTTTGACATTAATAGTATGCATATTTACTTCATTTTCGATAATTATTTGTAACAATAACTTATATATTAATTTTTTATATTTTAGATAAAGATTCTTTTGTACAGAATAGATGAAGAGTTGGTCTTGAATTGTTGATGATGTTCTAACAGCTGCAGCCCACCTTTCAATAGAGTCACTAATTTTACGAGTATCTAAATGTTGAATGAAACTAGGATAATTAAATAATGTATTTGAAGGAAGTAAATTGTTATTAATTCCATATTCATTTAATTGTGTTTTATCATCATCATTTAAATTATATAAGTAAAGTTCAATATAACGATAATTTTTAGAATTTTGTAGTGAAAATGGGTTTTCCCATAATAATGGAATTGTTAAACGACACCATAATCTATTAACTAGAATACATGAATGTAATGTTGAAAAGTCATTCCGAAAATATTGTATAATTTCATTTGTTATTTCGGGTAAATCTCCTGAAAATATTTTCGTACATGCCATAATGTAAGAGAAAAAGAAAGGAATAATTTGAATTTTACAATATTTTTTTTTTTTGATTATTCCAGAAGGGGTTATTTATACCCATTTTCGGAGTGGCTATTGTCACGTGATTGGTAATCCTACCAATTTTGTAGAACAAGTGAACAATGTAGATCTATGTCACTAATATCACGAATGTCATAGATGTATGACATATCATGAAAATCATATATAGTTGATAGGTTTAATATGTTTATTTTAACTGTTATATTTATTTTATCTGTTATATATTATATGTATGATTTATTAGTTATATTAGTTATATATTATATAGTTATTATATTTATTTTATCTATTATTTTTGTTATATCAAAATATATAGTTAATTTTATATAAATACAACGCTGTAGACAAGTGAGAAGAGGGGGATGCTCAAGGTTGTTTAGTTTAAGAATCATGATGAAGTAATTTAGGTTTTAATGGATCCTTTATTCATGTCTGATCGTATATGCCAGAGTGTTGCTATACTTTATTCATGTCTGATTGGATTATTTGTATTAGTTTATTGTCTTTCTTATTTTAATAAACCTTCTGCTTACCATTTTCATTTTGTTTACTATTCCGATCATATTGTCGCACAAAATTTATGTTTATCATTTTGAAGATAATGTGACAGTTCAATCATTGTTGTCATTTATGATCATCTCGTAATTTCAAAAATTTTTAACCAGTTAACGGATTTCAAAGTTCCTTACATTTTCACTTTTTTTTCTATTTTGGGTCCAGAAAATTCCGAATACTTAAAAATTATATAATGATATGCAGATGATATGTCCAAAATTAATTATTAATGTAGATTTACATACAACATTCGCTACATTCGTTTTCTAATGGATAACTTTTATAGATCAGTCGCAGACGAACAAGAAAGTATTAATGTTTTTAAATCATCCAATTGAATTAGGACTTGATCTATGAGATATCGCTGTTTGTTAAATCAGTAATAAATAATTTTCATTGAAGAATTATATACGATGACTAATTGTTTTTATCTTATAAACTCAAACGTTTATATTTACTTCATCTAAAGTCTAATAAAGTTCTTTATTTATATACTGTATTTTATATTTTGTAACGTTGAAATTTGTATTACGGATATATGGCGTCAGATTTATATTGTACTATATTGTACTGCGTTAGTTACGTAAGTCCTTTGATACCAACGATTTATAACTATTAAAAAAAACAGCAATGATGAAGAATCAAAAAATTCTGCTGATTTAAAATTTGTTTAAAATTAGAAAAATTTAACACATGCAGTAATTTAAATTACATTAGATTAAAGCAGTAAATAATTCTTAAAAAAAAAGAAGCAAAATATTTTTCTCGTATCAAAACTTTAAAAGTACATGTATTTCGTATCACATTAATTAATCTATACTATTTTATGTTATTCAAACCTCTCATCTAAGACTTTTCATTGTGTGCCATCAAATGTTAAATGTTTTAATTTTGTTGATCCTTAAAATTAGCGAACGTAACAAAGATCAAACATGATCAAACATAAAAATTATTAACAAAATACTATGCTTTTTTTTTCAAAAAAAAAAAAAAAAAAAAATTCTATTCCTAGATTTTTTTAATATACTGTAATTAAATTTTGGGTTTGATTTTTTTTTTATTTATTACATTTTTGTAATCTATATTTCTATAATGCACATATATATTTTTTCAGAATTTATTTAAATTAATATTAAATTTCGCTGCTGCACAAAAAATAACAATTCTGAGAATATGATAAAATTAAAATACTAAATATCATGTTTTTATTAGAAATGAACCATTTAACTAATAATCCTAATCCCTTTTAATTGCCCTTTAAACATGAACTCTTGTTTTCAATAAAAGCCCAAATTTGAAGTTGAACCTACAAAATATAACATACTTTCGAAATGTCTAAGTTTAAAAAAATTAGGTGTGAGATTAAATTATACTGTGACTGCTGTAACATTATGTTTTATTTATAAAAGTATCATATAAAAGTTTATTATTGAAATGGTTTAATTTATTCCGGTTATGAATTGAATACCGGATATAATGAAATTATATCTGAACGGTTTATTATCAAGAAAACCCTGTATTTTCCTAATAATATCCACCAGAAAGATATATACTGTATAAACATAAGTAAAAAGAATGAGTTATTTGTTTAGTAAAAGTATCAGTTACAATATCTATTGAAATTGGAGATCATCAACGGGTTATCAGACTATCATACCGAGTTATTACAAATCAAAAGAGCAGCAAGTTTCTAGAAGACTGAGAGTAATAGCAAATCATGATGTATTGGTGCGGTTGACGGAGATAAACTTTACTTTAGATGTTAAGACGCAAGATATTCAGGAACAATTAGAACATGTTGAAAAGGAAGACACCCCACTTTACAATAAGTGATTTGAAGTTTTACCAAGTTCTTGAGCATTAGGCGCGCTTGTAATAGGTTCTTTCGATAAGTTCCTTGAAAAGAGTTGCCAAACAGTTACGATAATAAGATTAAGTATTGATAAGAAAATCAGGATGAATAAAGTGATGCAAACTCAATTCTCTTTTAAGCGTAAAAGTAAATGATTCTTATTTGAATTTTGGAACGCCAAACTTGATAACATTATTTTCCAATACGGAACTATGTGTTTAAATAATTATTTATTCTTTAAACGTAAAAATAATATATTATTAAATAAAACAAACTTGTAAACTTAAGGGACGTCAACGAATAATTTCCATAATTTCCACAAATTCAAATCGCGTTCCAGACGTCTCATGTAAACAATATCCAGATTTACAATTTTTTTGTAACTGATATTCACTGACACGACACGTGAAAGTGGCCGGTGACCTACGATCAAAAATCCTATAAGCGGACCTTGATCAGCTAATATCAAACTAATCAGACTATTAATTATGAGTCATCTCATGACACAATTTTCTGATTATGACATAATTTTTGCACTCTGACTAACAAATTTATATAAAAAGCCACTCCAGAAATTTTAAACTCGCACATTTATTCTCTTACTCGTTCCTTCTCTTTCCCTTCACTCTTGTCAATAAACTTATCTTATTTTTTCATTTCCACTTCGCAGTATTTTATCCTTTCCCTTTTTAAAACGTCCTTAATAAAATTTTTTTATTTTATTTTAACTTTAATTTATATTTTTGTTTTGACGTGTTAATACGTCCTTCTGTCTCTCTCTCTCACTTCGGGGAAGACTTATGGTCTAAAGCTTGGGGTGGGCTTAACCGAAGAAATTATTGATTGTAAAATTACAATACAAGACAACTGAAACACCTTTGGTTCGCTTTTGATTTGGATCATTGTGGTAAGTATCATTTATGTTCTTACAAGAGAAAGGAATTCACGTGTACATGGCTCTTTTTGCTAGGCGAAATTATATTTCGCTAATGACCAGCTGTAGCCTGAGAGAAACTGAGGTTCTATAGTTATTTTAGTGATGAACAATGTGGCAAGTGTTCAATAGTTATTTTTATATATTGTTTACTATAGATTTCATTCATTTATTGTATTTAGATAATAGTTTTTATTGTATATTGTTTTTAGTGAAAATATTTTATTTATTTATTAGATTTAGATTTATTTTTATTGTATTTAGACTTATAGTATTTATTGTATATTGTTGTTAGTGAAAATATTTTATCTATTTATTTTATTTTTATAGCTTTTAGTGCAAATTTCATTTATTATTAGATTTAGATTTTAATAATGTACAACTATAGCTTGTGACTGTATGAGGTACCTCTATGCACTTTGCTCTCTTGCGTGATAGTACTTTCTCATAGGGTTTATATGATTTGCCACCATACTAATCCTTTTATGTTTTCAATTAACTTGTGATTTCCCAGGTACACCACTCAAATACACAACATAAAGTTGTTAGAAGAAGATGAAGATACAAAATACATAAGTTTAGTAAGGAGTAAAGTAATAAAAAAAACATTACATTTAAAATCTTTTTCAAAGTTTATAACTACTGTATTTTGTTAGTATAACTGTCTAATAATAAATTAATAAAATTTAAATATGATTTTTATTGATTAGGCCGGGCAAAATTAACTTTTAGATTCTCGTGACCGTGTTACAAAAATTCAGGGATAGTAAAAATTTCATCACGTGACTTAACATAATAAAATGGTATCTACTATTTTTTTTTTTTTGTTATATAGATTAATAAAAAAAATATATTAACAGTTAAAATTAACATTAATCATTATTAATTATTTGAAAATTATTTTTTGATGAAATTCTCAGAATTTTGAAATGATCAGCCGGATTGACATGCTACGGCAAAATCAGTACTCTCATCTCAATGGTTATGGTCACATTTTTAAGGAGTTGATCACACGACTGCAAAATTTTATGTAATAAACAAATAAACAAATAAACAATATTAATGAAGCGCAATAGAAGGATATAAGGATATTTAATAGGATAATTGGATAATTTCAGTTATAATTTACGTAAAAATCAAAATTTTTTTATTTTTAATGAACAAATAAATAAAAATATACACAAATATAAAAAATATTCAAAATTACAAATAAAATTTTAAATTACATGAGAAATTTTTTTATGATACATATAATACATGTTAATATAAAGAAATTTTAATAGAAATAATAGCTCCAGGCCATTTCGTAACGAATAGTAACTACGTCATTAGGTATAATTTTTCGGTTAAAATTGATCTTCATGTAATAACCGAAGTCGTTAAGTCGTTTGTGCCGTCCCCATCATAGAAGAATTTTCCGTTTACATTATAGAACATGAGTTTGTAGGATTACCATCAGGTTTTTCAGTTATTTCGGAAGTAACAATAACAATTGGTTTAGAGGTAATAATTGTTGGATTCATTTTTGATTAATTTACTTGAGAAAGAATTGAGAATTTAATATTTGTATATTTGTTTGATTTCTTTGATTAACTTTAACTTGATTAGTTGATTTTTTTTTTTGTTCTTTGAAATTTTTTTTCTGATGGAATTTTACAAGGTGAATCCAAGTGTATTTATAATAAATCAAACAAACAAATTTTTGGCTTTTAAAATATCTATTATCATCATAGAAAATTGAAATTTTACATAATTTACATTGTTTTCTTATTATGTAATTTATTTTTCATTGTTATTTCCCTCCCTATGTATCGTATTGTATTGTTTTTGATATTCTCCCTTTATGTTTCAAAATTGTTCAGGTCATATCGGGTATATCCTTTTTTAGAAATCATTTAAAGATTGGTATAAATCTATTATCTGATATAGTAATAATATTCATGCGTTACGTCGGCCATATTCCCAATAAGTAAATCGACCGCCGCACAAATTAATATTCTTGATTTTAAATTTAACTTTATGTGTACAAGTTCATGCATAATTTGAAACTAAAAATATTCTTTGTTTACAGTCATTGTTCACTGTGTGATAACGATAATAATTTATTTATAATATATTTAAATTAAACCTTACAAAATGAAATTCAAAAAATTCAAACAATTATCATCATATATTATAATAATATGTTCAATATATTCAATAAATCTTTTTGTTAATTGATGTGTTGACGCTATGTAGTTGAGCAGCTTAACATAATATTTATTTGTAAATTTGAGATAGCTTGCAAAAAAAATGGAAAAGTAATTTTCTATCGGATGAGTTATTCCAGTAGCAGCAATGGTTTTCACGATCATCTTAATTAAAAAAAATGGGCAAATAATAGCTAAATAATAATATCAAGCCTGACAGTGATGATTGTTTGATTGATTTTGATTGTTGTTTAAACAATTTTTAAAAATGGGCTAATTTACTTTTTAATTATTTGAGAAGGATTTGATTTATTATTATTATTCGATTACTGATTATCATAAATTCTTAATGATGATTTTTATTATATCTATAGCTTATTTGTCTCTTTGTAAATATTCCCCTTAGTGTTTAGTGTTCATTTTTTACGTAAGGTAGTATAATATCACGTGATTGTCAATCATTTGTTTTTTAACACAAAAAAAAAGTGTGTTCTAGACCCAGATTGTGTCACTTACGTGAGCACAATCTGATCGGACTCTATCGAAAACAGCATGTTATTGGAGCCAAAAATAAAAATTTCACAGAAAATTGTGTAGCAGGTAGTACTCAAATGACAATATATCAGGGATAAATCTTTACGAATGTAAAGTTATTTATAAATAAATAAATATTTAGTTTATTATATTTAGAACATTATTATTCTTGACAGTTTTTTATAGAATATTTTACAAATTGAAAAAATGTAGTACTAGTTGCCTTTTCTAACTTGATAATAACCATATACAAATTTTCGCATAATCAGTAAGAACTCAATAAGAATACTACAGAAAGTTTGTATATCGCTACGATTAAAATAATATACAATTCCTTACACTGTTAAACTGAAAATTTTGTATTAACAATTTTTTAAATATTAATTTACCATAAGTAAAATATTTTGAAATTTTTTGTTATAAAAAATATTAACCTATACATAGTATTTTTATGTATGTACTAATATTTATTCTACTGTACTTATTGCATGTAATATACAAATGTGATTAATCCATGATTTTCGTATATATAGATGTTATAACCAAATAAAACCTATCAATTTATTCCAAGTCAATTTTTGGTTTAATTTTTTTAATTTTTTTTTCTTTTTTAATCAACTAATTAGTAAAATTAGTATTCACTTTTACGAGATGGACACTTTTAGTTTCAAGAAATCTTACAAATGAATTCCCCATCGTTTTAAATACCAACAGCTTCTTATTAATTACACGGAGATAGATTACTTTGATAATTCACTACAATCCTAAACCTAATGAAAATCCGATGTGGGGCTATATCGGTCCTGTGACTGATATAGCTACTCCTCCATCCAATAACTATTTAATAATAAAATAAATAAAAAACGCATTTCCATAAATATGACTGTACCAATAGTACTAAAAAGATGACAAAAATTCTGGTGTGCTGCAGTAAGTTGTGTTTTTTTTATTTAAAAATAGAAAATTCTTTTAAGCTCGATCGATGGATTTTGATAAAATTGGTATTTTTTTTTAATATTATTATTAATTATTATTTATAACCAATAGTTTTTATATATTTTTTATTTAAAAAATTAAAAAAATATTTCAGTTATTATTGGCCCCCGTTAATTTATCTAACCCCTGGGTATAACTCCCCAACAAAAAAGCTCGGACACGTGATATAAATTGTGGCGTCTAAATTTTGATTGGTTGATCTTGTGTAACATTTAACTTTTGAAAAAAAAGTAAAAACATTCGCGAAAAAATTCAAAGACTTTTAATATTTAAGTAACTTTATAGTAAAAAGAGTAAAAAGTCAATAGAAAATAAATTTTTTAAGTTTTAAATAGTTTTATTATATTTTTTATTGAATAATACTGTAAACAATACAGAAAAATTTTTACTTTATGTATTTATGAGATAAAAAAATTTTTTTTTCTTTGTTTTTAAAATTCTCTGTATAACTGATAAAGTAACATATACCTAACTAAAAATATACAAGTTTGTGATATTTATACAAAAAAACGTCAAAATATATAAAATTAATATATATAAATTACTTTAATACTTGCTAAAACAAACTTTAAAAATTCAAAGAAATGTATAATATTAATATTTTATTGTTTATAATATATTTGATAAAAGTAAAAAAAGAAAAGACAGTATTTATATAATATAGGTTTCTAAGGTTTCCCATAAAAATAAAATGTATAAAGAAATAGGTGCGAGAAAAAAAATATGAATCACGTGTAGGGATTGGAATCGATTATCATTATTAGAATCGATTTTAGAATCGATTAATCGTCGATTAATCGTTAATCGAAATTATACTACTTCCGGTCACGTGACTATTAAAATTTATTAAGATCGGCATAAAAATTTCCTTTTTGGGAATTTTGTACAACATAACTTGAATTTCATTGGACAACAAAATTTCCTTTTTTTGGAATTTTGTTAATGTCACGTGACAACGACCTAACTTCTTATTAACGGACTACCCCAAAATGTCACGAAACGGCCGGCATTAAGAAATTAAGAAATTAACTATGTGACAAATAATGTGTGACAAATAGGTTTTTGTCAACCGAAATAAAACTAATACTTGTAGGAAATCTTATTAACGCTACTGCGCCACTATAAGTAAATTCGATTTTTATTCGATAATCGATTTAAAATCGATTCTTATCGATTTTCGATAAATTCGATTATTGTAAAATCGATTCCAATCCCTAATCACGTGCCCGAGATTTTTTGTTGGTTACTTAGCCTAGGTGGCCAACTCAAGGTTACACACACCATGGTCATGAGACTTAGAACTGCTAATTTTATAAGTAACTATATAAAAATGCAAAAATACCCCATGTTTAAAGTGAGAGATGGGCCGATAATCAATATGATTAAAAAAAAATTATCCCCAAAAACAACAAAATCCAAAACTATACAAATCTATAATTTTTGTTGAAGTTCCGCGTTTATATCTTTCAAAAAATAGGATCAGCTATTTAGAATACCTCGAAATTATATAAAAGTTTATTAAATACTTTAAAATAATACACAACAAAAGAAGAAACCGCTATTTTTAAATATTTTAAGTAAAAAAAATTTATCTTTTTATTGAGATCTCAAAAGTCTGTAATTTCTAACTTTCTATCGTCAAGTAATAAAAATATATAAAAATAAGAAAGAAATTAACCAGTGGCTCAATTTTGATGAAAAAAACTTTGCTTATATAGAGCTAATACGAACAAACTTAACTTCTGGGATCAGCTACTTTCCTATGTGTGCATGTCAAAAAAATAATATAATTATAAAGTGATGAAGAAAGTTTGCCTAATAAGAATCTAATCTCTGATTATTTTTGATCGGCACTCACATGTGACATTGTGACGTTGCTTATTTTCTATTGAAAATTTTTTTTCATAATTGTATTTGATTCTTGAAAGTTGAAAACACTTGAACATCGCTGACTTACAGCTCGTACAACCATTTATGAAAAAAAATATATACATGATATATAATCAAAATGTCAAGCTACTCTTCGCTATTTCGAGTACTTTTGCCATCCCGATTACAAACTAATTTCGAGGAAAATTCCCTACCCGCTAGGTTTAATGTTGTACCCAAATTGTTTTATTTGTGTTATTACTTTTTTTGAACTTTGTTTCTAACTCTCGACTTTCGCGTTTGCAGATATATCATGATCGGCTGTTTTATTTTAGGTAGCGGTACTTCTTTTATCTTTGAGATCGGCACTTTCAGAGACTTTACAGAATTAAGTAAAGCCTTCTGGGAAAAGAACAAGGACTACTTTATCAATACTTGGAGTAATGAATGAATTAAATCTCAAATTATGGAATGTTGAGATTCCTACCAGAAATAATAAAAAGTATTTGGAACTTAAGAATAATCTGCGTGTAGATATTGACGTTGAACAAGAATTCGGAGGTATGGAGATAGATCAAACTTGGCTTATTAATTCAGGACCCAGAAATATATATAAAAGGGTCAGGTTTGAGTTTGCGTATTTTGAACTAAAAAAATCATGAAAATCTTTCCTTTTTTAGATAATTTTTGATAATGCCGGTCAGAATTTTATTTCCTAATATTGTAACCGACTGACATTATCATAATTCCGGTCCTGAAAAAATGCGTACAGCTCATAGTAAAAAAATTTTTTTCATCACCTGACCCCTATATATATATTTCTGGATCCTATTAATTCAACATTCACAGTACCGGAGCACATACACATCATCATCCAACCACCACCCGCCACCACCAGTAAGTGTCTCCCAATAGTTTACCTTTCGAACAAGAAATTTGGTGACATTGATAACTGATTTTACTTCTTCCTCTTCCTTCATACATATTTGACTACATCAGATTCACTAGAGTGGAGCATTGCATCATTGGATACGAATTCTGTCATTTCGGATGTGGATGTGATTCTCTTTACATTCCACGAACTTTTTACAAGATGCTGTAACGGAAAGCTTGAGCTTCCTATTTTTAAGCCAGATAAAGCTCATCCTTATCATGAATGATCTTCCTACAATAAATGGAAATGATGGGCTAACCGACACTACTGTTTTAGAAGAACTTTCACAGATAAAAGAGTGTTTAATAGTCTTGGGAGCTTCTGGCTCTGGGAAGACAAGGACATTAATTGAATTGTTATGTAAGAAGTACGGATTTTATTTTACAGGTCTTACAAAGGATGATCTGGGTTCGTGTGACCTTTCCATGATGATTGAACATTTACTTTCAAGATTGAAAAATCCATTAATTCACAATGGCTTTTATACTATGAGATATAGCAAATGTTTATTGTTTGCTCAAATTTATACTCTCAATTATATATTGAAAAATTGCGGAAAAATAAGTCCATACAATTGGGCTATCTTGTAGCTTTGTCCGACTCTTTTTTTTGGTATAGATATTTTTGAGAAAATGACCTTGAATTTCAGAAAAGTCCCAGAATATTTTTTGAATGATAAGATTCGGGAATTGATTCATAATATATTGTATCTTGTAAATCAGGTAGGATTTTCACATCTGCTTTTTTTCGCTTCAATCTGTTTAATTTATATTATGTACTGTTAATTTTTTAGAAAATGCTACCAGTAATTTTGGATGAGGCCCGAGAATTCATTGATCTCAACCATTGTATTCAGTAATTATTAGAGCTCAGGCATATCCTTTTTTTATGATAAATTAATGGTAATAAGGGGTTATTGAAATACATAACAAATACATAATGATCATATGATAGGCACATGATAAATATAAGGATCATGAGGAAATCACATGTAGAATGAAAAGAAATTTTAAGTTACTAATGAAAAAAAACTATAGAATAGTTAAAGAAAGGAAATAATCAAGAAAATTATAATAAGATATTATAGGAAAACAATAAAGGAAAATACAATAATTTTTAGAAGAAGAAATAAAAAAGGAAACAAATTCAATAAATTTCATTAGAAGTAAAATTTTAGATTGTTAAAAAGTCGCAGTAATTAATTAATAGACAATCAACAAAAATGTTCAAATGATTTAAAATATATGATTGATAGGAAGATTAGCAAAAGTGCAGAAAATTGATCAATGAGAATTCAAATTGGAAGAATTAACAAATTAGAAAAATATTTTGAAAATGATGTCAGAAAAATCATAAACCTATAGTGAGAAAAGGGTAAAATCTTGAACCAAACAATTAGAAATTACTAAATAAAGAAAACTTGGAAATACGAGGTGATACAAGAGCGCAGTAAAAGTCATATAATAGGTATAGCAGAAGTCACATGATGAGGCATAGCAAAAGCTGGATCCAAGTACGATTCATGAAACTAAGTATAGAATGATTAGTTTAGCTTAGTTTAATTTAATCGGTATAAAACCCGAAGTTTGATTCTAGAATTAGGAATAACCAAGCATAGTATAGTTAAAATTAATTATAAACTCATATAGCTAGTTTTGAATTTTATTATGGGACACAATATTTTCAATGGGAGAATAATGTAGCTTCATTAATAATTAATTGTTAAAATTATTATTTAATGATGGTAGGTACAAATAGGATTATAGACAGTAATGCAGGTCACTCCTGTCATATGAGTATAAACTGGACATATGTAATGTTTTGTATTACATAGTTCTTTATTTTCTTTGAATAAATTATTATTGATTATTGGTTTATTAATTATACTTTGGTATATTATTATGTTATCACTAATCCTTATTCATGAGATGCAGGTTGATGTGACAATGTTTGTATAATAGAACCTGAGTGTTTCACCATATTATATGAGATTGTTTGCAAGGGTGATTCCAAATATGACTACCTAGGCTATTTGGTTAAGTTGTTTGTTCTTGCTATATATACTGTATGGGTTCTTGTCGTAAAATCAATCTAATGAAGTTTTTTTGAGTACCTGGGCTTTGTTATATATATACTGATATTACTACTTATCATTATCCTTTCTATTAATAGTCTCCATTATTACCAGACAATTGTAAATCTGAGGATGAAGTAATAATGGTAGAAACAAATAGTGAATCTGAAGATAAATTATTAATGGCGAAAACAAATCATGGAGAGGTAATTATTAAACTTTATAAGTGTCAAAAGGTGAAGTTTGATGCAATGTGCAATATAACCCTAAAAATATATGAAAGTCATAATAAAATTCAGATATTCAAAAATTTTTAAATTCAACATGTTTGAATATGATAATTTTACATGATTTACAAATGAATATTTGAATATTAGCTAATTTTTAATGGAAATTCTAGTAGCATCAATTGAGCCTCACTAATTCCTTAACTCCATTCAGACTCAAGAATTACCAACTGAAGAAAAGATAGAATATAATCCAACTGAAGAAAATGAAGAAAATGTTGATCTAATAACTGGAGAAAATAAAGATGAGACAGAACTTGATCTTCATGAGCCATCTGTCATTCATGTCAATGAAGACAATTCAGAAGAAAGTTTGAACTGGAATATGATAAAGAAAAAAGTAGAAACATATCGAAATCAGTTGAAAAAGGGAAAATATGCTGTTGAGTAAGCTTTATTTTTGTATAATTATTGTATTTATAGCATTTTCTAACTTTTATATAATTTCATTTTTAGTACACTATTATTATTTAATTAACCACTCCAATTTCCATGGTTCAACAACAACAACAAAACTAATATCTGACTTTTTTCCCAAAATGTTGAATGCACTTCCAAAAAATATGCAGTTTTGTATTCCAACAATTTCTAAAGAAGCAACAAAATTATTTAATCTACTTTTGAGGGTAAATCACTATTTTTTTATTACTTAAAAACAATAAGCCAATAAAACATAATTTTATAGAGTTTTTATATTGCTGATGTTAGAACAGTAATAGAAGAGGAAAACTTATTAAAGGGCTTGCCATTAATATAATCATCATAACCAGCTTAGATTTTAGAATTTAACAGATAATTACAGTTAATTTTCAGATATAGTTTTTAGATTAGTTTATTTAGAATTTAACATGTAATTGAATTTAACAGGTAAGGGAGCTTACATATATTACGTAATTATTGGAGGGGGGGGGAGTTTTCTAATATCTCACATCTAGATTAGCCAATCGGAATATAGAACCAAAGCACATGACGATTTACATTCGTAACTGGTAATACATGCATTTGAACATAAAATACAAACGGTTTTGATACAAATAAATATATTGTTTTTAAGAGATATAAAATAATAGAAACTTTATTTATTAATAAACATGACATATCAAAGTACATGTAGTTTTAATATTTCAGAATAATAGTTTTTTCTAACAGAGACACTTTGTAACACTTTCTTAATACTCACCTTCTGATTGTATTTCTCAGTCATGTATTACGACAAATACTTGTTCAGCTGGCACGGGCATAACTGAAAAATCATCAATAGAATTGGTAAATGACTTTTTTTGCTTAGCTGGTCGTCCTCTTCGTTTTGGATGTTGAATTTTTTTATGAAGGCAAACGATAGAAAGTGTTGGGAAATATGCATTGCAGATAGGACAGCAGAGACGATTATAAGTATCCGAACTAATAGAAGGACAATGGGTATCGTATCAGGGTATTTTGAGTTTATTGAAATACTCTAATATATGAAGAGGATTCAAGTAGTGCCCATCTTTTCCTTTTGTTACAGGTGGCAGAAAACCATTATTTTCTGCGAGAAGAATAGCTGCTTCTTCACAACGTTTAGGTAGACAGCAAAGAGAATCTTCACATTTTTTAATGTCAAGTGAGTATTGGCATATTTTAGTGTGATTTTCTATCCATTGCCAAGGTACAGATTCATCGGTATTTTCTTTATCACATCCAGGAAACATAATATCGTCAAATGGAAGGCTTATTTGATCAATATATTGTGTTGTTACCGGTCTTACGAAGATAGGATCACGTTCCCAAAGAGTGCACAAAGTTTCGCCAGCATAACGCATATTCTTCATTGCAAGCTCTGAATCAACTACTTTACCTTGAGAATTGAGGTGAGAGCCATATTTATCAATCGGTAATGTTATGCCAGCTAGTTTTTGAGAAAGTGTTGCCATACTACGCTCAACAGGGTTGTATGCAGATTGACCAGGTGCATGTGTTCGAACAGAAAGATAATCAATGTCAAAAGCAAGGAACATTCTGCAATATTGAATGATATTTTTCATGTGGCGAGGATTTTCATCTGGACCTCCATCAACTAAAAGAATCCAAATGGGTTTGATCTGCTCATTAACTTTTAGTATTTCGTCAAAACGGCTATCTTGTACCAGAGAATTCAGGTCGCTCATGTGAGAAGTTGAGCTTGTACCAATTTGGTATTGCGGACGTACAAAAATTGAAAGTTGACCATTACGAAAAGTATCATTTGTATCACTTGGGTTAATGAGTAAATAGACGGACGGAATAAGTTTTTGCTGCATTCCAATTGGAAAATCATGATCAGGTAGTCTAACTAGTTCTCGAAAACTTTGCATTGTTTTGAAAGTTCTTCCAACTGCAGGGATACCGAGAGGAACCTTGGCTTTGTCATCTTGTGAAATGATAACGGAATGAGTTGGAAATAAAGCTGCAAATTGTTTTGCTCCTTTAACGGAAGCAAGACAATAATGCTCATCAGAATGTTCTTTTTTTTCATCTCTAGAAACGGAGGCAATTGCAATGTTAGCAGGGTGGTGATGAGCTCTTGCTGCTATAGAATTTGATCGAGATGGTAGCAGGTAATTGCTGAGGGTGGTACGAGAAAGGTATTCATTATATTTTGAATTGAGTTCTTCTTGGAGGTGGCGGATGGTTCTGACTTTAATGACTTCCTTCCTTCTTTTTTTATCTGCAACTCCAAACTCGATACATTCATGTATATGTTCATGTAAATCGGGATATTGGACCAAAAGAGTTGGGCGACCAGGAGACTCATACATCATTACTTCTTGATGTTCATGTAGGTGTTTCATTTTTTTTTCTCTGCATTTACGTTGATAGCTTGCTTGGCGCTTCAGTTTTTTAACATTATTATTTTCGTTGCATAAAATTTCCTTAAGGTTTGTTATGCGCTCCATTAAATTACACCAAATTTCTGGATCACTAGTTGAATTGTATATTCGTTGAAGTTCTGCAAGTTTAATGTTAGTTGCATTAATAGTTTCTACGGCTTTTTTCTGTGCAGAAGCATTTGGAGGTAGATTAACATCAGCAATGATAGTCTCCTCTATTGGTTTTTGAGAGGTCTGGGACTCAATGGATTTTGATCTTTGTGATGGGCCAACAGGTCTCGAACTGTTAGTTTGCAGAAAACCTTGGATTGGAACAGGAGTTGTCAGATATTCCCAGATTTTACTTTCAATTTCATCTTGAGGTTTACACCTAATTTCTTTCCATGCATTAGTACATTCTGTACACAGACTTATTTTTGGATACGCAGGGTTTCTTGCATTCACCATTTGATAATATCCAAAAGCGTTACAGAATCTTTGGTGTTGATTTGTAGGAGTTTTATAAATGTAAAACTTATTATATTTTGGTGTAGTTAGGAAGGTCTGCATGTTAAAGAAGTTTCGGATAAAGAAATCAAAGTGGCGACGCGATCAGATCATTATTACGCGATATTAGATATTACAGATCACGTTGAAGAATCACATGTACATAGTTGCGAAAATTTTTTTTCAAATTGATCTGATTTATTGATTTATTGATAATAAATTTATTTACTGTATTCGTAAAATCGTAAAATTCCTTTCTTAATTTATTTTCTTCATAATATGGTGTGTGCAAACATAACATTGGCAAGAGAGTGTTTCAAAATTTATGTTAAATAGAAAAAAAAACACCGAAAATTTTAGGTGGTGTGTCAAAAAAGAAATTTCATTTTTTTCTTTTTTTTTATTGAAAATTAGATTGATGGGAAAAAGTTGTAGTATTTTTAACGGATGACAATGTGATTTTATTGTGTGACAGGTTATACTAATCTATATATGATATTTGTTTATAAACAGATTTCAGCCAAAAGAATATTATCAATTACGTTCACGTGATATCATAATCTCACTAGGGGGGGGGAGGGGGTTCGACTATATAGTAATTCATAATTACGTAATATATGTAAGCTCCCTAATTTTTAGTAATTTTTAAATATAGTTTTTAGATTAGTTTATTACTTTGTAGTTTATTTTTCTTTTCACTACTTAATGAATCATATTGTTTGTAAAATAGTAGTAGTATAAAGAAATCAAAAGATTTATAATTATATATTGTAATAATATATACAGTATAAAGAAAAATTTTGTACAAGTACGAAAAAAAAATTTGGAATATTATATTGTGTCAATATATTATAAATTTTAAAATTGATGATTAATCATGATATAATTAAAAATTTTTTTAAGGATTAAAATCAGAGAGTTTAGATTGATTAACCAATAAAAAATTTTTTTATCGGAACCGTATCAATGATACGTAAAACCGGGTGCATTATTATTATTTTTTTTTTTATTAAATTCTTTCTATTATAGAAACGTCAAGAAGATATTTATTTTATATTATTACACATTACCAATATTATAAAATTATACCGCTCATAAATTTTAGGTACATTATTAAATTTTAGTATACATTTAATTAATAGTGAATATCATTCATTATTTTTCATTTCGTTAATTTTTTCATTAATTTTTTCTAAAAAAATTTCTTGAGAATTTTCTTGAGAAGAATTTAATGGAATATTTTCTTGATAACCTTATAGTAGAATCAGTATACCTTTGATATCAGACGAATTATCATCATCAAATTTCCAAATCGAAAGTTTCATCAAAATCTGTCATCATCAAAATCTTTCTTATACCATTCTTAAAAATTTTTAGATTGATTAATATAATAAATATATTTTGGTTCGGGTTCATCAGGTCAATAATGAAATTGTTCTAATGTTTCATAATCTTATTATTTGATTTATTCTAAATATTAATAAAGCTTACTTGTTAGCCGTTTCCACTTAATGCATCTGATTTTTACATTAATTTTAGGATTATTGGGGTTCTTAAGTATAATAAACCTAGATACAATAAAGAAAGTAAAGGGACGAAAGGGACTAAGGGAAGTGAAAGGAAGGGAAAGGAGAAGGAAGGAAGGGAAAGGGGACAAATAAAAAAAAAATGAAAGTAAATAAAATAAACTAGGAAATGTTCTACTTGCTCCTCCAACTAAACCATTTAAAGATGTTTACGAACTTGCAAAAATATCTCGTGGTCTATCATCAATGATCACTTATCGTGATAGACTTAGAGATGTTTTATTAGAAGTTGTACCAGTACAATGGAATAAAAAATGTATTGAATATGTGGAGACTCAAGAAGGAGTTTGTGTATTTTTTGAAATGGTACGCAAGAATTTTGTAATATATTAGTTGGTGCAGATGGAATTAATTCTCCAAGTAAGTTGGTAGATATTTTTATGTAATGTCATAATTTTCAATTTATTTTTTTTTCTTTATTAGTACTAAAACATAAATTACCATGTTAGTGCAGATATTTCTATACCTAAACATCTTATGGACAAGGCAAATAAAATCCATGAAAATGTTTTTGCCCATAAAACTCTTGGAACAAAAGGAGATTCTTCATTTATTATGACACGCTTAATACCAATCAAACAAGAACAAAATGATGAAAAAATGAACCTCATTATAGAGCAACATTAGTTTATTCTTATCCCTCCGAACTGGATAATGTTGAATCTGAAAAAGTTAAAGTTGATGATAATGATCCTGCATCAGTCATCAAACATGTTAAACGATTAATTCGAACATTAAGACCAGATTGTGAATTGACTAATTTATTGTTAGAATTATGGGATTTGGCACCTAAAACAATTCCAAATGATCCTCCATTTAAAACTTATAATTCTATACAGCGAAGAATGATGCGAAATATTGATCCAATGTCTATCAAATCATGGTCAAGTAATCGAGTTGTATTATTAGGAGATGCTGCTTATGCTATGAGTCCTATATTAGGATTAGGAGCAAATAATGCTATTCAAGATGCTGATAAACTTTCTCAAGCATTACTTAGATATACTGATGATAATACTTCTTTTATTGAAGAATATGAAAAAGAAAAACGAACATCTGCTGATCACAGCTGATGTATTAAAATCTAGAAATGTCACGTTTAAGACTTCCACACCACTTGGCCTTTTGGCGTTATTATTAGAGACAACATTTTAAAGTTTATAAACGTTATGATAAACTTTTATAGTTTTGCGGATAATTTAATTTTCAAGAATTAAAAAACTATTAATATTATTATTTTTAGAATCTTAGAATCATAACATGTAAGTACATATACATAATATACATATAATAAATAATATATAGATTGTATAAAATATATGGATAGAACAAATACTGTGTATTTATTAGGATTATTAGGATCATGCTCTTTTCGCATTATTAAAATTTTTTTTCTTATCCAAATAAATAATTGAATCTAGATATATTTTTTTAAACCTGTTTTTTTTTTCAAAAATCGGATAACCAAAATATAACTTTGTTTTCCTTGGTTAAAAAATGTTGACACTTAAGTTACATTTTTCATTAAACGTTATTAATTTAAATGAAAAAATCCTAGTACCCAAGACACAGGTAGTATATACAGTATAGTATATGTGCTTTTTCCAAATATAATTTTGTCCAAAATTAGCAGCGAGTATTTTAAAATTTGTAGCTGAACTCGATACTGGGGAATAATAATACTATTGCAGTGTGTAATTGCACAATTGGTAATTACCTACTGAGTGATATGCTGACAGATTAATTATGAAAAGTTTGTACTTAATTAATAAAAATTTCCTTATTTTTTATAAAAAAAATTTTTTCCATAAAAGTAACGAATCTATAGGAATGTTACGCCATTATATTTTGACGGATTATTTTATATCGTAAATATTTAAAATAAGAGATAAAATATCAAATTAAATCTGACGTTTAATTTTAAAATTACTAAAATATTCGTTTAAATTGTATTGGGATAATAATTATAAAATCTTGAAATATAAAATACCTTCAATTATCAAATGAAAAATAACAAGTTTTGATCTTAGACATAGCAGTGAGTTTTAAACGGTTTCATGCGACCGAGTTTAAAAGATAAAAATAAAAATTTCAAAAACCTTATAAAATCTTCGATCCAATAGATTTCATATGTACATTAAAGTATCTTTTTTAAGTTTTATTAAATTGCAATTATCTTTAACCTATTTGCTATTCCTTTTTATGAAGTGTAATTGAATTCAATATTAATAATTTTTATAGTTCTAAAGTCTCAAACAAATATAAGATATAATTTTTCAATTGTTCAAATTTACAAGTGGGAAAGACCCTGTAATCGCATATCCTGATATAGTCCGTTGTCATTCTCTATAAATTAATAAAAAAGTTGTGTAAGATTTATTATAATTTAAATTATTTTATAATTTGACATTTATTCTAAAGAAACCCAAATCAGTAAATTATCAAAAATTATTGAAAATATTTTGTATATCGCTACTTGATATTTAAATTAATAACATGATTATATATGATCGAAAATTTTATTTAATAAAAAATTTAAATACAATAATAAATAGAAATTTGTAAAAAATTTAAAACAAAAAAAAAAAGTTGCTCACGATAACATATCACGATTCACGAACTACGCAAAATATTACTTTCAATCTAAATAGTCTGATTAAAATCATCTCTCAAAATATATTTTTTTAACCTTTAGATTTACTATTTTAACCTAAAAATAGAATTTTTTAATTAAATATACGAATAAAAAAATCAGAGTTTAATTAATATACCGTATGTTTAAATTTACCATCTTTATTAAATTTCATTAATTTTCAATTGAGAAATATCAATTTGTAAAGATTCTATTTAATGAAATAAAAATATATTAATATTTTTTATATTAAATTTACATATTTACAAAATTATTGCATTATTTACCTGAAAATTTTTCACTAATTATATTGTCATTTTGTTCATTGTAATAATCATCAGAATTTTTTGGTTCAGGAAGATTATTAAAATTAAGTAATCTACTTGTATAAACAGCTTCTGAATGAGTTTCATATGATAAACTTGTCAAAGGTATACTGCTAGCTGGTAGACTAGTATTGATTTTTTCTGATTCTTCAATTTGTTTAAATTGTTTTTGTAATTCTTCATCACCAATCCACCATTGCCATAAGATATCTCGAATTTCTACTGCTTCCGGTCGATTTATTGGATTTGCATCCAAGCATCTTTTGACTAAATTCACAATCAATTGGGGTACTTTAATATTACTAAATCTTGATCTAAGTCCTTGACAAATTTTTATTGCTAAATTTTTGTCATGGCTTACATCATGGTATGGAGGTAGTCCAGAAATTACCTCATACATAATTATACCAAAACTATAAATATCAGCAGCTTTAATATAATTTTGTCCTCTTAAAACTTCAGGAGCAATATAAGGTAAAACACCATATATACTGATTTTTGGATTTTCCGATACATTATAATCTGCAGGTTTACATAATCCCATATCAGTTACCGTAACTTAAGATAAAAAACTAAGTATATTACCAATATGTAAATCTCGATGAATTAGTTCTTATTCATGAATACTATAAAGACCGAGTGTAATATACCATAAATATTCTAGCTTAGTATACCAAGATAATTCATGATAATTTTTATCCAAATAAGCTCTTAAACTTCCATTCTTCGCATATTGCAAAACCATCATGTAATTTTTTGTTTCTGGGTCTTGTGTAATTCCATAAACTCTAAAAACAGAAATAAAATAGAATTTTATAGTCTTAAAATGCATTGTTATCTAGATATACATTTTATAAATCCATAAGTAAAAATCGCAATTTAAAAATTTCATTAAATTAAGAAATTAGGTAATACCTCATTGATAAATTCTGATGTAACATTTTCTGAATTATTTAAACTTTTCAGTGCTACAAACTCATTGGAATCATAACGTTTCCAATTTTTATTTATATTATCCCAACTTTCAATATATCCATCAATCCATTTTGCTCTATACACTTTTCCAAAACCGCCTTTTGCAATATATTCAATATCATATAATTTATTGTAAGGTATCCACTCTAAAACTTTCTCATAATCAGTTGCTGATAGTTGAGTGTCTTGAATAAATTTGTCAATATCGTTATTACCACTAGTCCAATTTTTAAAATTTTGCTGAAAATGTTTTGCATTACATTCTTTACACCAATCAACTTCAGTATTTTCTTTTCCACACTCCTTACATATTCTATAACTCATAGTTCAATAGATAAATTTAAACAACTTTATAGAATGGATAATAAAAAAGGCGCCACAAAATGTTACAGTGAAAATTTTTTTTTTCAATTTATGCATGCACGACATAAGTGTAATACAAATCGACAAAATGATTCACTACTTCAAAATGCTAAAATTGGTTTAGTGGTCCTAACTACAAAATTATATTGTCTATCACGGTATTTGTCGATCATTTGTCGATCAGAAAATTCATTCAATAAAAAAAATTTTTGATGTTTTACATTCAGGACTCAGGAGACTAAAATAATGTTTAAAATAATATTGTCGAGTTTCACTAATTTTTTATTATAAAATAAGTGACTCTATACTTATAGTTTTTACCTTCAAAATCTCACTTTAAATCACGCTTTACGCTTTCTTTTATTAACTCTACAATATAAACTTGCAAATCACAAAAAATCACATTTTAAGTAGCTTAATTAAAATTGTCCTTCAAGGAATAAGACGTATTACAAATGAGGAAATAAAATGGAAGGCAGTGTATTTATTTTATACGACTATTCTGTAATTTACAAAAAATTCATAACTACTAAGTATTTATATCAAAGATGCAATTCGTAACAATCCATTTGCAACGTGTAGAAAAGGAAAAATTTTTTAGTGGATCTGATATGAAGGTTAGTTAATTATATTATCATTATTTTATAACGAATTTTAACGTTCAATCTCGCTATTTTTATTTTTAGATTTTACAGGAAATTATTAGAGAATATCCTAATTATTATTTTGATGAAATTGTTCGAGAAATGATTAATAAAACTGGATCTACTTTATGGAGATACTTTAAAATTTTGTGGGAAGAGTTTATTCTACTTTTGAAGATTAACAAGCACTTTCCCATCGAGTAATCAATAAATATTTAATTAAAATTGGGCAAGCAGGCTTTGACAGATACCTTAAAATAAACCGCTTATTGGATAACCTGGAATTTTCGCTTTTTAGATGCTGAGAGTATGCTGAGATCATACTAGCGTATTACCAATATAAATTACTCAATGCAAATATATATATATAATTACTGTAGATATTTTACATAAAACTTCTTTATTTTTACTAAAATTTCTCAAGAATTAAATATATTTCACATAATTAAAATTGCTATAGAATGGGAATTTTTATTCCTAAATAAATTATTTATTAATATATTATAAAAATAATATAATGAATGTTATATTTAATAAAAATAATATAACTATTGAACGCGATAAACTCATTATTAAATAAATAAATAATCTTTATACCCTATTTTGTTAAATTAAATAAAGATACTAATTTTCATAAAAAAGAAAAAGAACTAAAAATAAATGATATAAAATAATTAAGTTACGTAATAAATCATACCACTTTTACTTCGTCTATATTACTATATATTGAAGAAAGTTGTTCGATAGGTATAGAATTATACAAATATTATTAAAAAATTTTTATTTCTATTTATTGTAATTTTAATAAACAATATAATTATTAAAGCGCTTTATTTGATTTAATGTTAAAAATTAAAAAAATGTTAAAATTTTGAGTCTTTGTTATATTTGAAATTAAAGTATTGTAAATATTGTGAAATTATTTTTGCATTTCTTCACGCACGTGAAACAAAAATTTTCTTAAAGTTATATTGTACAAAAATAATAACAACATCCAATTAATTTTTGTGGCTAATAATGATCAATTGTACCATATTTTGAGCCAATCTTATTTAAGGAAAAGGGTAATATCTTATACTCCGGGTACACGTACGTTAAGGATCCCCTTGCAAGTAAATCCTCGTTTAGGTCGCGAGATCCAAAAGCTATCTGTTGTGTCCAAATGAGGGATCGCAAACTCTGAAACATATAATAATTTATTTTGATTGGAAATTTTAATCCTCCTTTTCTTTTATACAATATGGCATGTTCAAAAATATTTTCAGGATAACTCCCTGAATTAACAAGTTGAAATTATACAGTATTTCAAAATGTTAATTATCCTAGTTTTAAAAAAACAAATGAAATTTTTCTTTCTATTAAATTATGGAATGAAAATATTAGAACTTTGACAATTAAAGAACGGCCTGGTAACATTTCAGACTTTGGCCAAAGATAGTATAAAATTGACAAGTTTTACTTTCTTGCCATTAATCAAAATATTTATAGAAATGAAGCTAATTTACATACTTTTGAATTTGAAGTTCCAAATACTTTCAGGATTGATGATTATCTCAGATTTACCTATTTGTAGTGTTAAAAAATCTAAAAATTTTTGATAAATTTAATAGATTTAGTAACTTATCATCATTTCTAAAATGTTTTTCTTCTGATTTCAATTCAATTTCATCACTTTATATTCAATCTTCAGTAGATAATTATGCTAAAAAAAGATTTATCCAAAATAAATAATTTACGATAAAATCTTAAAAAAAAATTATTTTGATTATAATCATTATGTTTGAAGAATTCTAATTTTCAAATACCTTAAAAATAATTATGTTTTATGAGATTTATCTCATGGAAGTCAATTTTAGTGAAATATCATATTCTTTATTGTTATCATTTAATATCATTTAAATTCACCATTATTCAACAAAATTATTAATTTACCTATTAAATCATTTAAGCTTAAAATCTTTATTTATGGATTACAGATCTATTACAAATTGAACCATTAGAATTATTATTACAGAAATCTGGTAATTAATCAGAAGATATTGGATCTGGATCACTAGTAAAAAGCGAACTAAAACTACAATTAATACTTGTTATTCCATGGGTATCAATGAATAACTGAAATATTCACGCACCGATGCCTTGGGGGCCCCCGAAGGGAGGGGAGCATCGGTGTATATGGAGTATTTATTAGATACCCATGGAATAACAGGTTTATCTCATTGTGTATGGCGTATACACCGATGGATATTATACTTTTTTATACTTTTTTTATACCGGTGGAATAATTTACAAAAAAATCCATCGGTGTATACATAATACCGATGGGATAATTCAAAATATTCTATTTATAGCTATTGTAATTATTTTTTTAATTACTTTTCCCTCTCTTCCCACTATCATCATATCTCATTCTATCTACTCTCTGTCCTCTTTCACGTATTAAATATAAATATTAAACCGTTTTAGATAGGTTTCAAAATAATTTTCTGAATATATAAGTTTCTGTTAAAAATACAAATGGATGGCATACATAGTGTATGATATTTATATTTCATCATACAGTGTTCGTATTCCGTGTTGCTAGTGTTACGAACTGCATTAAGTCAATAAATAAAAATTCTTATTTTTTAAGATATTACATGAATATATCTCAATATAAAATATAAAAAAAAAAACTCTTAATGAAAGTAAAATGAATTAAAACCGAATTGAAATTCATCTCCATTTTCCGTTATTAATTTCTCTTTTTTATATTTGAAAGAAGTTTAAATTCCGATCAGATTGTGCATTAATATATTAAGGTGTTATCTTGAGGTAATTCAAAAAAATTCTAGCCTTTATTGATTAAATCCATGTACACTTGCCAAAATGTGTCCAACCGTCAATTCGCAGGTCGAAGCTCTACCCGTTACAAATACCCGTTTATAATATACACCCATATCGTATCTCACGAGGTATCACCTAATTTTTAAATCAAGCATTTTTGTAAAATACCGAGTATTTTATACTTTCATGCAGTGCTAAACGGTTTTATATTGAAATATCATAATAAAAGCATAATAATATATAAATATTTCATTAAAATTGTTAACTTGAATTGGAATATTATGAATAAAATAAACTATAATTCTTAAAGAGTTCCACAATTTTATTATATCCCAAATCAAAGTATTTATACATAATACAAATCACATATACTGATAATTTCATAATAATAATATAATATAAAACAATCTAATTTGTATAGTAAATAACTAATCAACTTCTTTTAAAAAATCATAAATATCAATAGATAAATCCTTATAACATAAAACTTGAATATCATATGATTCAAATTCCTTTACCTTATTTTTTAGAAAAAACAAATCATCAATTCTTGAATATATAATTTCTGAAAAAGCAAAATATTTGACTCTTTTCTTTTTCATAATATATTCTTTTATAAAAGGGAAAATATCACCATTTTTTCCTCTCTTTCTATTTCTGATTAATAATTTTTTAACAAAAGTATTTTGAAAATTTTTTAAAAATATTTCAAAATCAATTCTATTAATTGTAAGACTTAAATGTAAATATTCTAATTTATGAGGAAGAATTTGACCTAAATTTTTTAATATGATTGAACTAATATCAGTAATGGAGGTTTCTATAAAAAGATAATCAAGATTTTGTGTAATATTTTCAACTAAATTAAATAATAAATAACTACTCTTATTATTCATTGAAATAGGACCCAAAAATTTAATTTTGCTACAATATTTTATAATTAATTGTAATAATTGTTGTGGTTCACTGCTTATAATTCCAAAATTTTCTAAATAATCGCAAGATTTTTGTATTAACAATTCTTCAGTTTGTAATATTTCATTCAAAAATAAAGATTTTAATTTAAAAGGTTTAGTGATATTATTAATTTGTTGAATAAATCTAGAATCTAAAGAACAACAATAAATAATATGAATTGATTCTAAAACATTCAAGTGATTAAATACTTCACTCAAAATAAGTATATTTTTAAAATCAACATAATAAAATATAATTGTATTTAAAGTATTTGAACAATTAGGATTTTTAATTAAAAATGATAGTGATTGATGCAAAGGAAATTGACAACCAAGTAAAAGTTTTCTAAGATTTATTTGAGATTGAATAATTTGTGATAATGATGAACATTTATCAGTCACTTGAAAATGATAAAATGAATACTGCAAATAAAGTGATGAAATTGAATTACAATTAGAGTAGAGAAATTTTGAAAATCTTGTATTTTCAGTTACTTCATAAAAATTAATTTCAAAATTTTTAATATTACAAATGAAATTCGGATTTTGTAATATTAATTCAAGAATCTCATCAAAATATTCAAATCTTGTATTATTAAACAACATAACTTCAAAACTATACAAATTTACTTCATTTTCAATGAATATTATAAATAATGATTTATATATTAACTTTGTAAAATTTATAATTTGCGAAGATAATAATTTATTTCGCATTAAATAGCCAGAACGTTGCACTTTAGTTTTTGAAGTTTCAATAGTTCTAGACCACTCATTAATAGAATTAATGATTTCATATGCATCTAAACGTTGAATAAAACTAGAATAATTAAATAACGTATTTGAAGGAAATATATCATTTTGAGTTAAATATTCATCTAATTTTATTTTGTAATCATCGTTTAGCTTATGTAAGTAAATTTCAATAAAGTGATAATTTTTAGGTAATTTAAGTGAAAATGGATCTTCCCATAATAATGGGATTGCTAAACGACACCATAATCTATTAACTAATATACATGAATGTAATGTTTTGTAATCATAATGAAAATATTGTATAATTTCGTTTATTAACTCTGGTAAATCTCCTGAAAATAACTTTGAACATGACATATTTTTAGTCGAAAAGAGAAAATAAGAAAAAAGGGTTTCTGAAATTAAAAAAGCTACGTCAAAAATTTATGGGAATTTCGGAGCGGCAACTCCGTTTGTCGCACAGAACATGTTTGTACATGATTATCATGATCGGCTGTTTCAAAAAAATTTTCTTATATAATTATTACGTAATGATATTGTGCGACAAATCACCTTATTAAACGGATGCCAATTTGCGTCTTAACGAATGTTAAATAGCTTATTGAATAGTCAAGTCATAATAAATTAATATTAAAGTTTCTATAAACTTCACTATACGGTACAAAGTTAAAAAATTTGGTTCTCATATCCTGACCAAATCAAAAGAACGAAAATTCCAAATTTTAATTTTTTTTTTACACGTAGGTATTTAGCTTGAAGATAAGAATGCCGAAAAGCCTGTGTAATGTATCTAGCTTTAATCGTAGCATTATTTCAATAAATTTGTTGGTTATACTAACCATGATATTCAATATATGGTTAGTTTGATGCCTAAATACAGCTTAAACTTTTCCAGCATTTTTATATTAAGCTTGAAGCTTGAAGCATACACTTAAGTGTAGGCTTAAGCATAAGCTTCAAGCTTCAAGCTTCAAGTATTGGATCCGCAGTTAGCTTCTCTACGGATGGCAGGTTAATATATATATATATATTTTTAAACGTAATTATTTATTAATAATTTATTTATTATGATAAAAAAAAAAAGTACTATGAAAGCTATTGAAAAAAATTTATTACCATAAAATAATATTACATATAAATAAAATAAATTATTTTTTTTTTTTTTTTTTTTTTTTTTTTTTATTAATTAAAAAAAAAGTTTATATTCTTTTATCATTATCAGTTAAATATAAAAAAACATGGAAGATTACAAACAATCATTATATTATCAGACAAATGATATAGAATTGGCACATCTATAAAAAAATATTTTTTTTTTATAAGATATAATATAATTACATCAAAAAATATTTGATCATAAAGAAAAAAAAGATTCTATTTATAAAGAAATATTGACTTCATTTTATTTTAATGACAAAAAAAATATTTAATAAATATCTCTTTTTTTCGAAAAAAAAAAAGGAAAAAAATATCGATTAAGAAAAATATATTAATAAAAAATATCTATTCTTTATAAAAAAATAAATAACATAAATTATTTCATATTAAAAATTAAATAAATAAAAAAAATAAATAAATACTATATCAGCAAAACTCGCTTTACTTTGTGTAATTCATTCAACTGTTGAACGAGAAAGTAATAATTTTATTATAAAAGAAACTATTGGTATTGCCTTTTTTCCAAAAATCCATCAGTTCCGAAATGGATTCCCGATTTTGCATTCGGGATGAAGTTAGGTTTACAGGAAAATTTATGTAAAAAAAAAAATAATACCCAAAGAAAATAATTATTAATTCTTTTTTTTTAAAAAAAAAAAAAATATATAAAATAAATTATATGACAGCTAATGCAGGTGATCATTTGAACCTTACATAAGATAATCTTCCGATTGGTTCATTCTCCGTTTTTCTCATTGGTTACGTTATAAGACAAGTACAAGATGATGATGAATTATTTAAAAGTATTAAACTTAACGTTAATGAATTTGTTGGAAAGGGAAATGTTGCTGACAAATTTAATATAAAATGTAGATACTTAAAAGCGGATGAGAGAATAGATAATAAAGTAAAAAAAATCCATAAACAGATTCTTTTTCTTAATATATTCTACATTATTACAAACAAAAACATAAATACACAACTCACAATAAATAACATTTTAACTGAAAAAATATTAAAGACCGTGCCAACTTAATTTCTGACGCCACTCTAGTTATGGTAAATAAATTTTATAAATTTTTATTTGTCAGAATTTCGTATAGTTTATAATGTGAATCAATTTATAACTATTTTATTTGTACTATATGTTAAAGTTCTAATATGAAAATACATTGAACTTGGAAAAAAAAAATCAATAGCTTAAAATTCACTTATTTCTCTTTTCAAAAACAACTCCGCAAGAACTTGGGGATGTCATTGGACCAAGCCTCGTTTTTTCTTCGATTTTACCACTTTCTGTACGGAAATTATATTTCAAAATAGCGTAATGCATAAAAAATTTAATTTCGTTTATAGCAAATTGTCTTCCAGGACATCTAAATAATTTAATGACAATTGAATTAATTAACGTCAACAAAAAATTAGAAAAAAAAAACTTCTTAAATATTATACTTACGCATGTTTACCACCTCCAAATGCTAAATAATTTCTAGTTACTTTTGATGCTGGAACATTTGCATCTAAATGTCTAAATGGTTCAAATGATTTTGGATTTGGTCCTTGTAATGATTCATCTACATAAATATCATCAAAATAAAGATCAATTAAATAATCTTCCGGTACTTGTAATCCATTAGAGAATGTATAATCTTTTAATATAGCGTGTTGAAGTCCCGTTATAAATCCTGTTAACCTTAATGATTCTCTAATAAAACTATCTAATTTCTTCATATTATTAAGAGCTTCAAAAGGAAGTATACCATTTTCATCTGCTTCTTTATGAACTTCTAATTGTTCTTCATATAATTCTTGCATATATTCAGGTCGAGATGCTAAATCAATAATAGCATTTGCACAGGTACTCGATGTTGAATGAATTGATACAAAAATGAATACGCCTAACTTATCTGCTATAAATGGATAATCAACATTATTAGGATCAAAATCTTCTTCTTCCATAGTATCTTGAAGAAAATCATCAGGCCGTTTCCAAGATTCACCATTTTTTTCTTTATCTTGTAAACGTTTGCAAATTTGTTTCTTAAGATGTTTAATTAATATATTTTGGTGTTTAACTGCCGGATTATATAATCCTAATCTTAAAATAATACGGTTGATATAATTTTGAAGTCCTGGATAAATAAAATCGAGGATTGGTGGGATCATTAAAAATATTGCTGAATCACTTGTAAATTCCGCAAATGTAGTTATTATTTCCTCATATTGTGATATCTCCTATAAAATGAAAAAAAAAAAAATAAATAAATAAAATTTTTAATTTTTTTTTTTCTTTTAAATACATAAATAAAAAAATAAATTAACTTATTTATATATACTTACTTCACCAACAAAAATATTTGCAATAGGGGCAGAAATAATTTTAGTAATCAAATTATATATATTATAAATAACTTTTGGTTCATCACATTCGCCAATTTGTTTTTTGGTAGCTGAATAAAGACTATTTTGCATACGTTCATTATAAAATTTCATTTTATTTAAGACATATTCTTTAAGTACTTTTGATGTATTTGTAAACCTTTCTAAGGTTTTAAGCATTACATCTCCTGGAAATATTCTTTCAATTGCTTTTGAAAAATCAAATACATCATCTCTTGATAATACTTCTTGCGAATGTTCTTTTCCTATGAGTCAGTAGTAAAGTAATTAAAAATGAATTTATAGATTAGGACGTTTAAAATATTTTATATTTATTGAAAAAAAATATGTAACCTACCAACAATTATTCTCACTTGACCCCATATATAAAGACAAAAGATATCTCCGTACTAAAAATACGATAATAGATAAAATTAAAAGTTTATTTAATTTGACGCTAAAAAATTCATGAATTTACAAACCGCTTTTCTACATTGTTTAAGGAATTCTTCAGTATTATACAAATAACTATAAGTATGACCAATAATCGGAAATTTATAACGAATGAGTGGCGGCATATTCTAAGAAAGTAAATAAAAATAAAAAAAAAAATTAAAAAATTTGAGATAGTAGCCATTAGAAATTTTTATCTTACCAATTTTGGTTCACGCATACGCTTTAGAACGTAAAGCGTTATTATTAGAATGAATCCTAAGATAATAGCTTGATACATTTTTTTTTAGAATTTAATTTTTTTTTATCGGTTATTATTTAAAATATTTTAAAGAAGTATGCGAATGCCTTCACCTTTTATAAAAGAGTGAAAATGTACAAATTTCATTTATCTAATGAGATTATAAACTGAAACAAATTTACGTCATTTATTGGCCAAGAGAAAATCATTTATGCCAAAATGGAAATCATGGGGTTGCGACCGATTATTTACTATGTAAGAACAACAATACGTTTGCCAAGAACTTAACAAAATATAATATAAATAAATACAATATATGCTTGGTTTAATATTACTAAATAAATAATTATTCAAATAAATCTCCAAATTCGTATCCTGAATTTTCACAAACTCAAAATTTACCCTATTTATATAAATCCAAAACCAGTTTCTCAACGAATCTTCCTGCGCCTTTCATCACTATGTTTTGTGGCAAACCTAAAAATTTTAATTTCATCTCATTTTAGGCTCACACGTCAGTACTTAACGTTTTTCATGTTTTTGAAATTTTGAATTTTCCTTCGTTTTTGATCTTCAAATCTCCTAAAACTGAATATCCTAATTATACAGTAGTTCCTTTTCAAAATGATCTACAATTCAAATCATCTGATTTCTTAATCACTTGATCTAATACTCTTCGTTACTCCTTTCACCATTAAACATCTATATAACAAAAAATACATTAAAAAATCGTAACGTTTAGACTAGCATGTATAAATAGTTTTGAATTGTGTAATATATTTTCTGCTTGCGCCTAATCTATTCCATTTTAGCATAAGTTTTTTTTTGCCCTTTATTTTCTAGATTATTTAGGTTAATATCGGTAAGTTCAAGGTATGAATTCCGAATTGAAGATCATCAATATTGTTACCGAAATTAGATCATTTGTTTAGATCATATGTTAGCGATAGTATGCTTTTGGATGATAAATTTCTGACGATCATCTTCCATATTTATTCACTTTTTCGCTCAATATGGAATTTGTTATGCGATCTTCATACATTTTTTCATAGTTTCGGAAATGCACAACGTGAACTTTAATTGTTCAATTTTATATAGCTATGTTTTATAGCTATATAGCAATAGCAATTGCTATTGCTATTGCTATTGCTATTGCTATTGCTATTGCTATTGCTATATAGCTATAGCTATAGACGTTAAATAGCAAAAAATATTGCTTTTACTAAATTGCTTCTTTTGATATCATTAGAATAAAATTACAAATTAAGCATTCCTGTGCCACTTTCATTGCATGTTTAATTTAGTCATCAAATAATAGGATTTCACATCAAATTTAGATGATCTTCAAAGAAATAAAGCTACGAATATTTTTTTTTTCTAAGCTAAAAAAAAACCCCTAAAATATTGTGTTACATCTTTTTTTTTTTGCAGGAAAAAAAAAATTGGTTGGATAAAAAAAATATTGCGTCATAAATAGATCTTGGATTTTTTTAAAAAAAATCATTTTTCTTTCTTTTTTTAGAAAGAAACATCATTTTTTTTGATTATCATTATCCAATTACAATACTTATCATTATTTAATTCCCTTTTTTTTCGTTTTACTAAAAAAAAAAAAAAAAATTTTT